GGCTGGATGCTTCTGCAGAGGCAGCTGGGGAGGAGGAAGACTGGGGTGATGCTAGTGAGCAGACCAGCAGGCACCTTCCCCGGCTCCCCCTTCCCATCCTCATTGTCCAGGGACACAGCCAGGCACTGCCACGGTCGGTCAGGAAACCTTTGCTTCCCTGCTGCTTTTAGAAGGATGGCACTTTCTATCTGCTGACAGAGAGCAGAGAAGGCAACGTGCAAGATAGGACATCCTCCCTCCTGCCAGAGGAATGAACATGCTCATAAACCCATCTCCTTGGGAAATGGATTCATCGTACCAGTGAAAACAAACACTCAGAGGCAGAGGACTGGCAAAGGGAGGGGGACAAAAGCCCTTCCCTTAGCCAGTGTGGGTGTTTGAGACTCCTGGCAGCAGTATTGTAACACCAGAAGAGCAAGAGATGCTGGGAGATAGATCGCAGCCTGCTGTTTACTCTTAGCCAGCCCTGTCAATACCCTCCCCTCTACGGCAAAAACATGTCCCTTATAGTAAATAAATACATAAATAAGTCCTTTGAAAAGCCCAGCAGCTGTGACGTGGGAGAGCTGAAGAGCACGTTGTGTGCCTGCTCCCTCTCCGGAGAAGCTGGGCTCTCCTTTCTACACTACTAATCCCTGGTCTATTTTCAAACATTTGGTTGCATTTGGTAACTTAAGTCTCCTCCCTCACTCTCTGCCGTACCCACTGCCTTGGCAGTGTCCTTAGGCCAGGGTCCCACCTTCACCTGAACCACAGGGGAGGCCACCACGTGTGGACCTGGCTCCACAGGCGAGGCCAAACTCCGTGTGCCCACCCCAATGCCCCATGGCAACGTGATATGCACTGAGGGGCAATGCTGCACGTTAGGAATTGCTGAACAATTGGGGATATGAGGCACTCTGGGAACGTCCAGTCCTCAAGAGATGCTCGAGTCAAGCTCCCAGTGGGGACCTGCAATCAGACCCCATCCCCTCCGCCAGCTCCCCTTACACTTCCACACCTCCCCAGTGCCGGAGCAAGCAGCAGGTTATATTTCAAGGCCTGCGCTTCCCAGAAAGCAAAAGCTCTCCAGGAATGCTCCCAAGAGGCAAAGGAGTGACATAACTCAGCAGCTCTCGATACTCTGCATGTTTTGGAGGACAAAGCAAAGGCAGCCCCTGATGTGGGCACTACAGCTGCCTGAATCACAAGCAGAACCTATGGGGAGGACAGTATTTTGTAACAACACAAAAGCTGCGTTTGTGACGCTCGTCTCGACTAAGACTTTAAAAGCAATAACAATCTGCCCAAAGTGGCTAAAAGCAGTGAGTGTACCGCAAAGCTACAGTTAGCTGTACACACTGACACCCGGGGGGTGGACAGTATCCCACCCACTTTGTGGCAGAGGCGTAAGGTAGAAACCAGCAGCACAGAAGGTAGCCTGCTCTGTTTGCAATAAGAATTTGGTATTTTGTCACAGTGATTTTCCTCAAATGAAGTCACCACTGTGTGTTTTATCAGATGTATTTAACCTGAGCCAACTCTCTCCTAATGTAAAATCCTAAGTACCCTAAAAATCAGTTTAAGCAGCTAGTGTCCCGATGTCAATGCTCCATTTTGTAAAGTCTAGCGTGTATCTATAAAACTATCTTTTTATTATAAAATATTTTAACAGGCCAAAGGATTCCTTTACACAGCTTTTCTTTTTCAACCATGGAACAGGAAAGGTTTGTCAGGTTCGGCTTTGGTGGTGCTATAATATTTTTTCCTCCAATATTCCTCTCTTTCGATTCCAGCTGTCCCCAGAACTGTGCAGTTTGTATTTCACCAGTTTTACTAATGTTGCCTTAGAGGAAAGAAATCAGTTCTTCAACACTCAGACTTCATTGCAAGCCTGAGGTTTCCTAACACTGTAGCTGAGCATTGGAGTACCGAGGTCAACCGCCCAGTGCAAACAGCCCAACATCCCCTGTCCCTTCCACATCCACGTACTCTGGATGCTGTAGTGTTTCTGCCATTAGCCACGTGCTCATCTCTCAGCTTTGGCTACATACAGCCGCAACATCTGAAGTATGAACATAGCCAGCCACTCAAACAGAGCAATTATTTGGACAACAAAGTCCTGGTCCACAACATGTGCTACTGAAATGCAAATAATTAATAATAGTAAAAATACAGACAGCAACTGAAGTGTGGACGCTGGATTTCTTTGTGCCAGAGGCTCCTGCCCCAAAGCCGGTGGTAGTTTGGCTGCTGAGCCTGCTGGAGGCTGGCCTGACACCCCGTCAGGAGCTGGCTATCACTGTGGGACACCTCCTCCCTCTGTGCCCTTGCTACCTGCTAACCCATGCTGCCCCTGGGCGCTGCAAAATACGGCAAGTGACTGGCAAGATTAAAAACGCAGGAGATACAACAGCACAGGAGATATCAATCGCTAAATCAAAAGGTTAATTTTCACTTCCCCCTGGATGCTACATAATAATCGTGGCCCGCACCAACCTAAAGTGTATCTCTAGCCCAAGAGTGTGTACCTCCACCGACTCCACAGCACACTGGCCTCTCACATTTCAATCCTTGTACAATATGAAGCAAGCAGCACCTGACTGCCGGTCCTGGTCCCGCGCTGGGTGTCCTCCTGCTCGGACAGCCTGTTAATGTTTATCTGAGGAGCAAATGTTTTTGCTGACCCGGGGCCTCACACACCGCACCATGCCATCGCACCCTTCCTTTGCTCAAGTGGCTCATGCTCAAACGACTTCAGGCACTGCTGACAACCCCACCAAGGCAGCAAGTGAGGGCACTGACAGGCACAGGCATCAAAGCAGACAGCGAGAGGCAGGAGGGAAGGGCTCTCAGGGTCCCCGGCAGAGCTGGCTTTGCAGATCAGTGGGGTGACCAGCTACCCGGGGTGTCCCGGAGCTGGAAAGGCAGCAAGTGGAGCTGAGCCAGCACCCGTCACAGGGCTAGAGGAGGAGAGTGCTCTTAAAGCTGTTCCTCCTTCCCAGCACCCTCTCCAAGCAGGATGGGGACCATTTTGGGAAAGAAAGAAGGATACCCCAGCCCCACAAAAGCCACATGGAGCTTTACCATGAGGGGTGTGAGAGCTCGAGGAAGAGTTGGTCGCTGCCCTGCACCTTGCAGCAGCCGCAGCAGCAGAGACCAGCGGCAATATCTGCCCCCACACTGCCGTTCCAGAGGAGATTCCCCTCCATCGCTCCCTGGGGCTGCCCCTTTCGAGCACCCGTGAGAGCCAGGGCCACACGTGGACTGCAAAGAAGTGTCGGCAGCCAGAAACCCTGCTCCATTCCCCCTCCCAGCCTCCGACCTCCCCAGCTTCCTTGCAGCGCTGCCCCAAACCCCTCTGCCGCCTGCAGCAGGGGGTAACAGCCCTAGGGGACTCAGCTCTGGGTCACCCCGGGTAGCTGATCACCCCACTGATCTGCAAAGCCAGCTCTACCGGGGACCCACCGATCCCCAGACTGACCACGACACGTCCCCAGCAGCAGCGCAAGCAAAACCCCCGAGGTGCAGGGCAGGTGTGTGGAACTGCGGGGGGGGGAGAAGAGCCCGCGCACACGCGGTGCCCCAGCATTCCCTCGCGGGACGCCACGGCCCCACGGAGCGCCGATGGGTCCCGTGAGCCCCGTTTCCCCCCCGCCTCTCCCGAGTGTTTCTGAAAAACCCCCGCACTTGCACATCCTCCCGCCCCTCGGATCTACCCTTTCGCACAGCAGCCGCTGGGGAAGGCAATGGCGGGGGGAGCTCCACTTCCCACCCCGATCGCCTCTTTCCTCGAGCTAGGGACTTGGAGAGAGCAAGCCCTCGGCAGCAGTGCCGTCCCCGTCCCCGTCCCCGTCCCCGTCCCGTGGCGTCCCGCAGCCCACACCTGCCCGCCCCTGTCTGCCGCCCCCCTGACAGCCCTGCGCGCCCGCCAACCCCTGCAACCCGGGAACAAAATGCAAAGCCTGCCGCAAGGGGAAAAACACCCTCAACAAACAAACCAACCGACCTACAGCCGTCCCGCGGCCAGAGCCGTGCTTCCACTCCGCCACAGAAAATGAAACGTCTCCTCCCCTCCCACCGCCTCGGGCTCACTGTCATTCGAGGCTTGAAGTTAAACAAACCGGGCAGTTTAAATGCTTTGGTTGGAGCCTCAACAAAAGGATGGTCTGTAGTTGTAGCAGCATTTCACCCAACTTCCCAGTGCCACATTCCTGAGTCCCACAGTCACTGTCTGGGCAAACAGTCCATTTATTTCTATTATTATTTTTTCAGCAGAAAGTCCTATAGCACTTGGCAAAAAAAGCATTTGTTGTTTCTGGGCGTTGTTTAAACTGTCCCACTGACGGCAATAGCCGCGGACCCGACACAGCCCTACCGAGCCGCGCTCAGCCCCGCTCCTAGCATCCCCTCCCCGGGGATTTTGTCGCAGGGTGCCATCTCCGCACAGTCCCCTGGGCTGGACAACACCGGCACCACCGCCCGGGGCTGCCCTCCTGGTCGGGGAGG